GGCGGCAGCGGCAGGGTCGGCAGCGGCAGCGGCGGCCTTGTCTAGGACAGCCTTGGCTGCGCCCACGGCAATCTCCCGCTCCAAGTCCCAGATGGACTTGGCCTCTGCTACGGCCATTTCCCTCGCTAAGTCTAGCTTAGCCTTCTCCCGGATCCTAACCAATCCTAGGTTGTGCTTGTACCAGGCTAGCAGAAAGCGTAGCCCAATCCACACAACGCCGGCGTGCTGGTGGTGGCGGCGGCAAGGCCGGCCGTGTGGTCGGCGAGGGCCTTCGCCCGGACAAAGCCCCTCTCGGCCTGGGCGGCGGCAAAAGCGGCGGCCAAAGTGTCGGCAGGGGCAGCGGCGGCGAGGGCGGCCGTGTAGTCGGCCAGGGCCTTGGCCCGGACGAAGTCCTCCACCGCCCGCTTCTCGGCGATGGTGGCATTATGGTCGGCGAGGAGCTTCGCCCAGGCCGCCTTCTCGCGGCTCAGGGCGAGGTCTAGCCCGTGCTTGTAACAGGCCCCCCCTACGCACAGCACGGTACTGAGGGTACCAGGCATGCTAACGATGATGGAGGGGGCGGCCAGTTTCTCTGCTAGGTGGCAATGCCACTGGCCATGGTAAAGATGATGGAGGGGCCAGCGATCGCTGCTGCTGCTTTTGTTGTTTCTGTTGTTGTTGTTGCTGCTGCTTGCCCTCAGTTTCTTCGGAGGGCTTCCTAGCGACGAATTAGTGAACAACTCGCGAAGCGCACGCGGCTACGCGCGAACTTACTTTTTTTTGTTCTTTTTTTGAGGAAAAAAGGGGAAATGGGGGTGGTTGGTGGTTCTGAAGAAGAGTCAGCAGCGAAGTCACGGCGAGGCTTTGCGAGAACCCGGCGACTGGGGACCAGGGAGACATACATAGAAAACGCCCGGGCCCTTGAAATCAAGCTTCTGCAGCACAACGGTCAGCAAAGCACAAACGCGAGCGATTCGCAAAACGGCCGCCGCGAAGCAGCAAAGCAGAAGCAAGAGGGCAACTCACGGAAGAGTGTGTTGATTGAGGAAGGAAAAAGAAGAAGAAATCGAGTCAAAGGCAGAGAAGATTGCCGTATGCAACACAGAGGAAGAGCGCGGAAGCGAGAAGTTTTTGCGCGGCAGGAGAGCCGTTGAGGAAGTGAGAACCTTCTGAGAGGCAGAAAGAACCGTTGAGGAAGTGAAAGGCGCTACCAGCTATTGGTGCTGTTTGTGCTGTTCTGTTGCTGCTGCTATTGTTGCTGCTGCTCTTCATGTGTTGTCCAGAAAGAAAGAATAGAAGAAAGGAAGATGGCCTTACTAAAGTATGGTCCTTCCTATGTTACGTAGCCTTCTCATTGTCAGCTTTGTACTAATCTGGAGAAGAAAGGAAACTGTTGATTGATGCAGTGAATTAATTGGGTGCCTCAGGCGGCAGGGGTGAAGTGAAGCCCTTGTGTCCCTATTTCTGATTGGTCCGATCTGCCCCACCCCCATCTTCAGTGATAGAGGCTAACTACGGTGAATGACCCCGACAGAGTACGGAGTAGATAGCCTCACAATCATCAATTATAACAGCAGAAATTTGAGTCAATTGATCAACACTCCCCCGCCTCCGAGACCCTGCTATAGAGCAAAAGAAAAGGCTGCAAAACTTAGATAGCGCGCAGCATAGTTGCCCGCCGCTGTATACAAGATGTATGGGGGACGGATTGAGGTAGTGCGAACAATAATATCTGCGCAATAGATTCAACCCACTATGCTAAAGTGGAAACTCTACCTTAGGCTTAGACTGGGACTTTGTCGGCCCGACTAATTACATCTCATGTCCCGTTTCAACCACGCTATCCATCAAAAGAGCAGAACCCGCTAATAGCCGGCCGAGCTTAAACTCCAGTGGAGAACTCCATACAACGGCCACAGCTCACCAGTAGCAATGAACCATGATTTAGTAGCAGGCTTTGTCGCCTTTGCCAACTTTTTTCTCATCATATTTTTTGCCCTTGCATGCACATTTGCAGCGTTCGTAGTCTTTAAGGCATGGTATTCCCCCCTTTTTGCAGATAGCATGCTTGGCTTTGCAGCCTGCAATGCACTGGGGGCCTTGTGGTTGTTGTAGACCCGTTTCCTCGTTCACGGCTGGCATGGCTAGACCCAGCGTAGCAAGGCCAAGTAAAAGGACCATCATAGCCTTCATTTTGATGAGTATTCAATAATGGAATGATGAAATGATGAGAAAAGTTGGTAAATAATGCAGAGTCAACTCAAGGTCGCTGTGCTGAATTGTCAGTTTTGTGCTGTGTAAGATGCAGTATTCGAAACATGAGCCAGTGAGCGAGCCTCGTCGTTTAAATATTTGTCGACGACGGTTCGGATACGTATCTTTTTGAGCAAAAAACAGGCCGTGTCTCGGGGAATTCAAAGAGGAGGGTGTCAACTCGGGTATAATCATGACTCGAAGGCTTTCATCCTTCCACAGATTGACAGGCGGCGGTATCCATGTCTAATACATCACGGCACGTCGCTCGAAATGGGGACATCGGGCTATATGCCGCTGGAGATATAACGAGTCATTCTCCATTTCTTGACTGGTATCGAACATGGCTTCTACATAGTAACGTACTGCTAAGCAGGTGTTTCGAACCTTTGACACAACACCACCTGGCTGTTGTATTTTATCACTGCCTTTACGGCTTGCTGTCAATTTTGGAACCAAATTCAGGGTGAATTTTCTCAATATAATCTCTAACAAGGCTTTATACACAAACATTCTTTCGACTGTGTGGTCGCAGTATACCCAAGCGAAACGAGCTAGTTTATAAATTGGGCTGCACTGCACCATGGCTCCGGACGCGCCTCTGAAAAAGGTCCACAACGACTCACTTCAGCCATGACATAAAACGTCGACAGGGTTGCTCAGCCTGTAAATCACTGCAGATTCTTGGCCGTGTTTCGGCTGCTCCTTCTTTGCCGTGGCTAGCTAGATGTGTGAAACATGCGTCTTCAGGCCTCAACGTTGTAGATCTACGCGTTGTGGCGGGATAAGGGCTGGCTGAATACATGGGCGGTGAGGCGCAAAATCGTATGTAGTCGCCTATAGATGGATACTCTTATAATGTTCACATCAGACATAGTATCTGTCAATATGATAAGTATAAACTGCGAGAGCGGATCAAAGGTTGACATTTCCGGTGCGAAAATCCGCCTTCGACACGTCATATATGCCGCCGACTAGTCGCGGACGAAACACATCCCCCCGTCCGCCGGCCGAATCCGATTTGGCCCCCGCGTCCACTGGCTATCATTACCGAATACATGGGGTGTTCCGTAGCGCAATTCCGGCGACAATCTAAGGAGCCCCCGCATGCTGCATGTGCAACTCAGCTCTTCGCGAACTGGTCCATGCTAACCCATCAATCAACAATGGTAAATGGCGGTTTTCACACTGCCTAAACTACAATGGCCATTCTCCACCACACCCAAATGGTGGCTCTTACTGTTGTTTTGGCACAGTTGGTGAGCAAACCATGGCGCAGTTTCCTCATTACCGCCTCGCCAACGCTATTCACCCAACGGCGAGTTTTTTAGGTGTCCAGGGCCAGACGAAGCAGCGTCGGACGGCGTGACTGCATAGCGTCACCATCTCTGACTACGGCAACATTTTATCCCGGGACACATTTCTTCAAAGGCTGGTTCGCGGGCTGATGCATGCAACCTAGCTTCGAGAGCCTGGAGGCAGCAAGTCGCCGAGTTCGCAATCGTCCTGAGAAGCGACCCTTCCTGATCCTTCAGAGGACGCATGTGTGCAGCCTTTCCGGCAACGTTATTTCCACAGTGGCGCCGGCGGCCCATGCTCGTTGCTATAACGTGGCCCGTTGCTGCCCATTTGACCTCACAGTTACGCAGCCTTTGATCCTGAGTTGGGGTACTTTTGGAGCAATAAAACTTTGGAGAGCCCATTCTTGAAGCAGGAACATGTCGCAAAGAAAAACGGCAAATGCGTTACTTCCCAAAACGACAGCTCGCTGTAGAGGGCGTGCCGCATGGCTCAACTCTACGACATGGTGCAAGAATGCGTCTGCCACTACGAGTCGCGCTGTCCATGGCTTCGTTGTCCGTTGGTATAGCATTCTGAAGCCAGCCTACTGCAAAGCGAGTCAGGCTTTTGAAGTCGCAACTTGTCGCTCGGTCAAGGGTAGTTGTCAAATTCGCGACATACAGTACCCGGAAAGAGCCAGCTGAGCCAGATGATTTTGACGCAACTTTTATGCGACAAGCACGAAATGATTGAGGCGAATGTTACGGTTGATGACTATGTACATAGGATCACATTGCCGAAAGACCTCATTCGTGGCAATACTCCAATGCTGGGGTTTGTTGGTTGTGTTACCAACCGCCTTGCCATCCAGCTCTGTGGTCAAATGAGTATTTCTTGAAACACGTTCCATGGCTTGATCCCTTGCTACCCCGGCGAGACCGTCTTCTCCGCTACGTTGATAGCGATGCATTGAAGAAAGCACAGCAACAACCCGCTAGGCGAAGGCGGTTCTGCGCTTGTAAGTCGGCCGCACTCCCCGTTCTGGGGCTTGATGACTCCAGTCTCCCCTGCCAAGATCCCCAGTGGCTGCAGACAAAGCGGTTGCCAAATCACTGCTAAACTCGAAAAAGAAAATGATGACGGCAAGCCAACAATGAGCACTCATGCTTCAGCGGGGCCACGGGAGTGGGGGGC